GCTCTGGAATACGCTTCTATGGGTGTCATGCGATGGAAACGACTTGTGAGCGATACAGGAAGCTCCGGGAAGAAAGGCTTATTGTCGCCTTTCAGAGAGATGAGTCTAAGGCACGATTTCCTATCATCAGCTGAACTATTCCTCGTTCCCGGGGGCCGCTTTCTTCTGATTCTCAACGCGGGACGCCTTTCGATCTGGGACCTATTAGATATCCACGAACCAACAGCCTGCCCAGGAGATATACAGCCAATTGCCAGCATTGACTGTCACTCTTTCACATCTCATCCCGCTCCAGAGGGATCTGGCATCTTAATTATCACCATAACTATCAACAATGTCAGTGAAACTGACCTGCTGTGAGTCACCATCTTGGCAGGATATGATTGTCCTCAACTGACACTCTCTTTTCAACCGGGAAAAGTTACGAGGTGTTCAAAATATTTCCTGGCGAACCCAAACCTCGGCTAGTTTCAATCGCGCGCATTTCGATACTAAGTGAACATTTTCTGCGTGCCACCTCAGTGGTTGGGAATCGCCTCGTGATGCTCAACGGCCGTTTCGTCAAAATATGGGACTTTGTAACGAACGCATGGGCATGTTGGGACACGGGTTATTCTTCGTTCGAGGTAATTCTTTTTTCCGCCGCCCGTATTTCCTTAGCGGTTGAATGAGCGTCTAAATGTATCCACCTCTCCTACAGCTTCTCCTGGACACGAATACGATCGCATTGATAGGAGGAACGGAAGTCCATCTCTGGGACTTTCCTGAGCTCTCCCTCAGTGGGAACGCTAACGCAGAATTCAGGAAACTCCCTGAGTCGGCGCCCCATATTCCCCCACGCGCCATCTTTGCTTTGCCAGATGAGCATGTCCCCGACCTAAGTCGCCTATTTGGTTGTGGCGGTCTCTGCGACTGGTACACGGGCAGCCGACAACCACTGATGTTTGATACATGGGAGCAAGTCCCGCGATCAACATTTTTCGAATTCACGCGATTCCGCATCGACAGCCTGCCAGTCATACACCCAGACTCGGAGAGCTGCCTCGAAGTCGTATCTACCACCGTGACCCCGGCAAAACTCACCTTCATAGACTCATATCGACTTTATTCTGGTAATCGACGCATCTGCCCGACTTACCGTGCCTGTGGTGACGATGCAGTCATGGTCTGGAACGATGATGAGAATGTTTTTTGTCACACCGGCGCCAGTGGTCTGTCCCCACATTCTCGAGTAAACTCTGTCACCACCGCCCTGCTCGATATCAAGAACACCGCCGGAAGTCGGGAGTTCAGTCTGTGCCCAATTTCTGGCAGACTTTGTTATCTCGATTGCCTCGGTATCCGGGTGGTCGACTTCTTTCCTCCGCCCCGCACCTAAGTACTAGTAGCGTCGCCCTCATCTTTGATGAACTGGCGATGGGTATAATTCGAGTTATCATTATACACAAGAACGAGACAGGATACAGGAATAAAACAACGACTTCTAAACGAGAATAAGCAATAATTATAAAGGAAGCTAGAGAAAGACGAAGAAAAATGTCAATAGGGGTAGCGCGTTCATAGGATATTCAAAACATTTCCGGTCTGTGGGAATCACTTTCTAGAGCAGAAGTCTGTTCCAAAACCAATGGAAAAGAGAGAGAGAGAGAAAAAAAGAGAACGATCACTCATTTAAATTCACGGCGTCGGCGACCGCCTCTGCCTCCTATCCGCATCAACAATCATATCCACCACACGATCCCTCGCATCCTCCAGCCCCATCACCTCATCCTCAAACACCCTACTCCCCAACGCCTTCCTCAACGAAAGCAGCATAAGCCCTCTCTCCACACTCTCCTTGCTAGACGGGCTCGGCGGCGGGCTCAACAACGATGAGTGTAAACCACACCCATCCTTCTGAACAGCATCAGGGAACAACTGGCGGTACAACGACAACGCCACAACCAACGCCTTGATCTCGCCATCCACACCCGGGCCTGTGGCCTCCTCAGGATGATGAAGATGATCGAACGACAAAACGCCGCCATCAACACCCGAGGTGGTCACCTTCCAAACCCTCTCAAACGTCCTCCCCAGCTCAGCCACCTGCCCACCGAGCTCGCGCGCCGCCTCCACCGTTCTGCGTCTCTGAACGTCCTCTTCCTCCTCCTCCTCGTTGCCTTCCATGATCATATCGTCATCAACAACGTTAGCGAACAAAGTTGCGAGATGTTTCTTCACCCTCGCCTTCACCACCACAACGCCCAACGCCTCAACAGGGGTATATTCCGTCCCATCCGAAGGAGTGGCTTTCGACAAGCACACAGCGGCTTCATCCATATCCAAAGTCTCAAACACTAGCTTCTCACTGATTTTAGAAGTCTCGGTATCCTTCGCTGCGTCCCAAATGAATCGAGCTTTGACCTTGGCCAGACCTCCAAGGGCGCCTGTCGTGCTCGCGATGACCAGGGCCAGCGTGGTTCGGTCGGACACAGATGCGTCCGGCTTGACCGAACGATACACCTGCAGGCGTTCGTAGAGAGATAAAGTCGAAGCTTGTCCTAAAACAATCCTTCAGTTCCTATCTTTCGTTTTAAGAAATAGAATAAAAGCGCTAACCTTGGAGAACGCTCTCCTCGCCCATCTTCGCCCAGCTCGTAGGGGTATTCTGGCGTTTCTTTGGTGTAGCAACGCTCGGCCGGAAACTCTGTCCCTTCCGAACGACCTTCCCGATACCGCTTCCAAAGCTCAAACCCAACCAACTGCAGATGAAGCTCGCCAGGACAAGCAAAGATACGAAGAGATGGAAGAGCTGCACATACTCCTTCCAATCCCAGCCGATGGGCGCCGAGTGAGGAGCCGCGAACTGCGAGATGATCTCAGGGGCATACGCCAGCGGGGGATGGGCAGCAGTGAGCACGGTGCCTGTATGTGGACTATGACCTGAAGACGCGGAAGACCAGGATGAGGTGAGCGGTGAGTTGAAGAAAGAGAAGAGGGCAAAGACTGCGAGAAGGAACTGTTGTGGTTGCCCCTGCTGTTGCTGCTGCTGGGCAGCCCATTCATGCAGCTGTTGGTGTTGTGTAGCGGTGTACGTAGTCGGAGGCTGCATGACTTCATCCTGTTCAACTGGGAAGGTAACAGGGGGCGGCAATACCTTCCTCGGTCTGCCTCTCTTCCTCTTCTCTGGGATACCCGAATCGCTGTTAGGAACAAGCAAGACTGGCGCTGGTTTCTTCTTCTCGGCCGGTTTCTTCGCTGGGAATGCACTCGTCGCCACCTTTGCACGCTTTCTCTTTTTGCCAGGCTCGTCATCTCCATCCTCGCCCTCCTCATCTTCACTGTCCTCATCGTCACCCTCCTCATCTTCACCCTCAACCTCATCCTTCTCTTCCCCACCAAACTTAGCCTTCCACTCCTTCTCCCACTCCCTAACCAACGCGGGTCCACCGACGAGCCCAGAAACGAGGGTCTTCAACCCAGCCTGCTCCGCCTTTAATCTTTGCTCCCGCTTCTTGAGCACGCGGATATATTCCACAGCCTTGCCCAACACATTCGCCTTGCTGCATTTCCGTGCAACCTTCACACCGTCGACAAACCCGCGCTCGTCAATGACGTCCACGACTGCGCCGTCCTCGCCTTCTACGACCACGTTACCCGAGCCTTTGATGAGAACACTGCCCTTGAGGTTCTTTTTGATCTTCTTCCCATTGCCGCCTTCCCTATCCTCAAGGACACGGAGCGCAGGAACGGCCATGCGCAGGCTCTGAATGCGGGCGTTGAGGTTGGTACGGTACCGCCTCTCGATGGTAGTATGACTCGTCTTGGGACGCGGAAGAGCACTAGTGGGCGTGGGAGTGGACACCATGTTTGCTGTGGGTGGCGGGACCGCTGTGTTGACTGCTAGCCTGAATGGAACAGTCGATGTTAAGGGAGGGGTAGATGGCGGTGGTGTCGATGCAGCAGACGACGATGTAGACACATTGGATGATTTTGGAGGAGAATGTTGGAATCGGGGGATCGGGAGTTTACCCTGCGTGGGATTTGACGCTATCGTAGGGAAGTCAATTCAAGTCAACTAACGAGATTTTTGGATCACATACTGGGAACTGTGACCTCGTTGCCTTGAAGTTGGGCATTCATGGGAACAGCGAGCATGACACCTGCGGACTGGCGGACACGTTGGGCAAGCTCCGCAGCCGGGTCATTAGCGTACATTTCGGATTGTTGTGGCTCCTCCTTTGGAGGGATATTATCACTACCATAACCCCCCGGAACAGGGCTACCCAGCGACTCTGGTACCGGAGAAAGGGATGCACCGGAGGACGAGGAGGAGGAAGTGACGCTCAATCTCCGCTCCTTGGTGAACTGCGGGGAAGCTGAGGAAGACGTGGTCGTAGGATCACCACTGGCCCCAAATTGGAACATGAATGGGAATTGCGTGGCCAAGAGCTCGGACGAAAGGGTGTTGAACTGGTCGTCATATGTGAAATTCAAGTTTGAGCTGGGGAAATGGTGGAGTGCGCTAGGTTCGATGGCCATGGAAGGATTGAAATCCATGTCCATAGACATGTGTGTGAGGTCGCTGAGGTCCATGATATCCGAGTATGGCTTCGATGTCGCCTGTTCCCCGCCGTCTGCCCAGAGGGCGCTGAACTTGGACCAGTCATGTTGTGGGTTTTCGTTCTGGGACGAGTCGTCTGAGGACGAATCACCGTTGTTGAGAAGAAGATTGAGGGGATCCGAGGCGTCCAGGCCAAGTTCTGCGGACATTGTGGACGAGATGGTGGTGGAGAACGACAAAACACCGGTTTTCTTCGTCCTCGCACGACTTGCAATCGAAAATCAAGAATCAGGCCATTTAAAGTCACGTGCACTGTAATGGAGTCGCGTTCGCTTCGGTCTTGGGTTGGCCGTACTGATTTCCATTTTTTTCCATTTTATTTTCAAAAATCATACGAGTAAAATAATAAAACCGTCGTATGATGCACGTTGTACGTATGGCGACGAAGGAAAAAAAGAACCAACGATGGGACTCGAACCCACAGCCTCTGCCTTATACCCTAGCAATGTGACAGGAGATAGGAAAGCAACGCACTACCATTGTGCTACGTTGGCTTGTGATGACGACTCTGATCCATTCATTATGAAACCCGAGTTTGTTCCAGACCTTTTCTCCCCTTTTCAAAATGCTCTTTTGTACACAAGTAAAATCCCCCATATCTGTCTACTATATGGCAATCTCAGCGTCTCATGGAAATCTGTCGGATGACAAGAGACCCCTATGCTGCATCATCCTCGTTGGGCTCGATTTGGGGGCCCTTACGGGCGCCTATCCACAACCTATCCATGTTCACTATCGAGCCCCAGATCTTCTCTGGGAGGTGTAGACTTCAAAATCGCCTGTGTTCTTAATTTCCGAGATCCCAATCACTGTGGTTGATTCCCACAGCTCATTCCTTTGATCGTCCGTTTTCCGCATTGCTCTTCTCTGATCTGGCATACATCCGATTGCATCTGCTCCAAGGGTCAGGTCGCTATAGCTTGCTACGTAGGTGCCCGAGGAACCGCAAAGCGGACCCGATCATGTATTATCCATTGGTCCAACGTCGCGGCATTCCATCTTGATGGCCAAAGGTTGACGCTCACAATCCTCAAATCTTTCTCGTCATTTCCAAACCAGCTTGAATCTCATACAATTCCGAGGGTGAAATTGGATATCCTCTGTGCTCCGAACTTATAAAATCCCTGATGGGGACTTTACGGCTGGACTGAATCACGAAATATTGATGTGACTGGCGCGGTATTCACTCCCATCATCAACGGGCAGGGCGAAAGGCATAACGTCGCCGCCCAACCCAACCTCCTTTAGGCTAAAAAACCATATACGGGTGTGAGTAGCGCTGCATCTGAATTGCGCCGGGCAACTTATGCTTAATTTAGGCCCGCATCTCATTCCTCGATCGTGTATCCCCCAGCTGGGCCGGTGAATACTGTTGACACCTTTAGGCAATCACGTTACGCCATCAACCCCAAGCCCTTACGACGTTCAAACGCAGCCAAAGTGTGGCGCAGCGATATCAATCTCTGGCACAAGCGTCAAGATCAAGACCCTGGAAATCTTGCGCTCCAGATTGAAATTCTGGCAGGGTCGGGATCGACCAGTTGCGCTCCCTCTTGGCTGTATATCTGAGTGATGTTATCCTGTGGGCTGCGCCTTCTCATCGCCGAGGATTATTGACTTCCGTCAACTGAACTCTCGTTGGACACTGTTTTCTGGACGATATCCATCTGGTCCTGCACCTATACCCTCCTAAAATTCTTAATTTATTGAATCCTTAATACGTGAGCGTACCAAAGTCCCGGGTTTGTTGTCCGGCTTATGTACATCGCCCCTCGATTTTTCCGTGTCCGGTCAATCGTTAAAATATCGGCATTCTGAAGAGACGAGAAACACCGAAGGCTATATCGAAGCTCCATCTCGGATTGATTTTCCCCAGGTTGCATGCCTGTTGGGGATGCCTCTTCTTTACCAACCCCTCGGCGCACGTTGGAGGCGCCGGCGTCAATTTTAAAAATTCCGCACGAGTATCCTCGTTCCGGTTCCGTTCGGGTTGCCTTTATGCCGTGCGTGATGGATCTGGTTATTAAGAGCATATTTACAACAGCTCGAGTTCCTTCAAGCCTATCCGTTGGTACTATGATACAGAAAACCACATCATACCGGCGATGAGTGTGTAAAAACATTCCAGAAACAACACAGCCGGCTACTAAGAATATATGGCACGGTGGAGAAATTGTTGTCGTCAAAAGAAATCAATTTACATGATACAAGCGTTACATCAAAGAACCTATCAACGATAGATATCCTATCCTACATTAAATTGTCTCGAAACTGTCTACATTGTCTCCGTAATATCCGTTAATCGTAAGTTAGCGTCCGTAACCTGATGGTGTCCGTAATTGTACAAGTAGTGTCCGGCAGTACGTAGCGTCCGGCATCGTGAAGCAGTGTCCTGAATCGTGAAGTAGTGTCCGTGGAATGTGTAGTGCCCGTATGTAAATTGTGTAAGGGTGGGTCCGTAACCTTCGTCTCGTTCGTTAAATATGGGCATCTAAGAAAAAGTTCTAAAAATACAGTCTGATTAGTCCATCTCCATTTTTTCTCAGTGCAGGTCCGTGAATGTCATGAATGAATGTCCAATGTCCATGGGGAGTTGAGGAGGAAAGCAAGCAAGCAAACAACCGCGCGTGGCGGCCTTCTTCGCGGTTCCAATAAGGCGGAACCTCGGCACCAACTCTAAAAAATATTTTTAGGCGCCTCATCGAGAGTTCGAGATTTAAGCACTCGATCGGTGTTGTTGTTGTTGTTGCCAACATTTGACTGGTCAAACTTGAACATTAGCGAAACCACCAGAGAAGGTTATGAACGGAAAAGGCTGCTCACATATGTCTGCCTTCAGCGCTAGGTACTCCTTGTACCCCATACTTGCATGAGGCTTATTAGGCCTTAGATTCTCCCAATGGATGACCTTCGGCTGGCCTATATTTACCTGACTCTCCCCTTTCACGGGATCGACAGGGAGACCATATCGCGAAGCGCTCCGTGTCGGGGTGCCTTGTGGATGACAATGGGACATGGGCGCAACGAATACATATCCCTGAGAGTCCGGACAGCTCAGTACAATGACCGGGTGTTGGCCAACGCTTCCCTATACGTTGCGGGTGGTGAGTTGCGTTATAAAACACTGTCGTAAAATAACGTACGGAACCCTCGGGCCGGGGGATAAAATGCTTGGGTTTGGCTTTCATGATATCTCCCTCACGGAAGGCGCCAGTGCACATAGTCGGACAGGGAGACATTATTAGGTCGGAATAGGGTCGAATAGATGATATGTGAGAAAAAAAGGTGCTTGATGATTATTGATATTACAATATTCTATCAAGTGCATAAGCGCTCAATATCCCAACGTCGGCCAAAAAAAAAAAAACTCACAAAGAGTATCCCTGTCGGAAGTGGTTGTGCAAGGCGAAGTCAAGATAGGAGGTGATTATTGGGCTTGGATCATGGTAGTATTACAACGGGAACCCGACAATAGATTGGTGAATCTTATATGCTGAGGGAATCTTGCATTGAAACACGATCGAAGGGCAATCGAGGAGTGAGAATATACTCACGTCCGGAATACGCCCTGATCACGAGGTGCACTTTTGACCCTGCAATGCTTCTATGCCACACAATGCTCGCGTTTGAGAGTCGAGTAAGAAGATATGTATTCGTTCCTCAGGTTGTGGCGCACCGAGCGGACCTTATATAATAGAGAAATTCAATAGTAGACCTTCAATACAAACCGATATCCCGAGAGAGGAGCTCCACCTCCTCCCTAATAAAGTGCTAGCAGACATTGGGCAGGCGTCCGACCTCTGAGATATTGTCTCCGATCGAGGAAACGATAGGCGATACGTCGCTTCCGAAGTCTGCGCTTGGCACGAGATGTGGTGGGCCGAAGGGCGTAATGGCGATCTGTCAATTCATAAGGGAAATTCCCTAGCTACCCCCCGCGTTTGAAGTCTTGACATGTCAATGAAGAGAGTGGAAATAGCTTCCATCGACGTCATTTTCAAGGCTTTTGCAGCCCGTGTGCCGAAAAATCGCGGAATTTAAGTGGTATGCACTTCGTCGAGAGTTTTGATGGTATCAATTAAAACGCCCACGAGGCCGACAAGCGCATACTACGGCATAGGGCTTAAAACCTTTCATCACGAAAGTGCCAATCTGAGAACTTGTTCTGTGGAGGGATTTGGCGCTTCGAGGCCATCCATACCGTCGGGTTTTGGCTCCTTCCGGAGCGAAGTTGGGTAGCAGTTTGGTAACATCAGCATCCTGTCAACGGGCAAGATGATGAGATAATTTGGGACTCGTTTTCGGGGAACCTTTGGTGTGTTCTGAAAAAACGTATAGTCCAAGTTGTAAGTATATATATCGGCCTCCGGTAAATCTTCCTCACCTTTCCTCGAACGGGGTGCCCAATCTGCACAGCCAACGGTTTGCACGAAGTTTTCTTGCGGGAAACGGCGCAACCTGAGGCCTGAGGACTAACCTAAAGGTCAAACGCTTGATCTGTGGGTAACTCCTTCTTCAGAGCGCAGTCAGAGTTGCCTGACGATCACCGAGCCCAGGCATTGGAATAACAGAATATCCACCGTTCGTCGCAAAGGTTGTTGCGGTTACTAAAGTGACTCCCGCTCAAACGTTCAAGCTTCAAGGACGAGGTCGTGCGAGATGGACTTGAATTTCAAAATCTATGGGAATGGGGAGGAGATTGGTTAATTAACTGACTCCGTTCCATGTGGACTTCAGAGGATCACATTCTCCAAGGAGAAAACACGGTGCCCGGACGATATTCGAGTAAAATCCTTGCAAAACTCCTTGCAATAGAATTTTACCTGTCCATCGCCTCGAGTTATCCTTATAAAGGAACACACATGATTCAAATCCAGAAGAAAAATAGAGAAACGGGAAAGAACTTGGAAATACTTACACCTCACGCAAAGCCCGGTGATTTTTCATTCTCGTTCTCGTCACCGAGAATTGGACCTGATTAGACCCAAGGGTATTATGGATAATTGAATACCCGCCTGCGGTTGCAACTCTGTTGCTTTTCAAACGTTTTTCTGGAGAATTTTTTCCGAGCTTTGTCCAAGCCTCCTTCATTCAGCTGTCTTCTGGTGCCCGGCGCTGCAAGCTATATGAGAACGGATGGAGGAGGAGGAAAATCTTCGTAAGGTATGAAGGCTTCCGGGAGAATCCGGTCATGAGCGCTGAGCATTCATTCAGAAAGATTACGGGTTGGGTAAATAACGTACAGAACCCCACTTGTTCGACTCCCACCGTCTTTCATTCTGAAACCGGACCTTGTTCTTCACCCCCCAGTTTCGATGGGTTTATGGCTTCGTGGCGAGCTTGGATCTTTCCTTCAGGTCAGATGAACGACCTCGAACATATATAAGTCTTTTCAAGGTCATTCGGAATTTTAGTCTGGGTGATAAGTAGGTCCTGCACGGCTGGAAAAAGCACGCCGTTTGTATCAAAGCTATAGGCAGGGGAGCGGTCCAGG